TTTTTACCTTGATTTCTAAGCTTTGACTAAAGAATAAATAAAGTCCATATCAATTCAAGTTTTGCTGAGAAGGCAGCTAAAAAAAAAAGTTAGAATTGCTTAGAGGTAATTTATTAATGTTGGCCATTCTGCAATAGAAAGCATGGTAACTGTATCTGTGAGGAGCAGGACTGTCCCATTAATAGACTGCCAGTTAGTCTGGAGGTGTCTGGATGATAACGAAGACCTGTGGATTACTGCAGCTTTTAGTGTCATGAAGTTGTCCCATGGGGCACAGATCATTCCCTTGTTCTTGAGTCCATAGTTGGTTTCAGCTAGCTCCTTTATGGAGCTGCAAGCAGTCTAATGTGTCTTGGCAAGACCATTTGGTCTTCTGGGGCTCTCTGCTGCAGTACTAGTAGGCTTTGGGTTTCTCTTCAGGGCACCATATTGCACAGAACAAGTGAACAGAATGATCATTACTAGTTGTCGCCTACTATATCTCTTATTATATTTCTAATAAGCGCCTAAGGATTGTACTCCTCTTGTTTACTTACGACTTGACTGAAGCAATTATCAGTTTTTCAAGGATGTCTGCATAATTCCTTGAAAACTGTAAACATGAAACTCAGATGAAGGTAGTCAGGTTTAGAACAAACTTGGAATAACCCCTTAAGGAACAGTATTTTTCCTTAAATCAACCCCTTATGTGATTTGAAGATAGCAACAACTATTGAAAAACCTCTGTGTCCCTGACCTTTCCCCTTAATGGCAAGATCTCTCTCATATTTCTTGTATCAGTTGTAACTGTCATGGCATGATTATAGCAAGTGTTCTATATTTTATGATCCAGGGTCCTTCATATCTGAATTATACTACAAAAGTCTTGTAGAATATATCCATTTTGTTAAAGTAGAGGAGCCAGTGTGCCATGGGACGAGCTGCCTAGCTCATTTTAACTCAGCAGTTACCTGGAGGGGTGATTCTGCAGACCTGAATAAATTTAAGTATATACATAATGCTAAGTCCCCATTTGAGTATTTTGGCTAAAATAGAAACAGGATTATTTATACCTCAAAAATTAATCAGACTTATATGCTGTGCTGAACTGAGATATGAAGTCCCTCTTTTTCCAAGGAAACAATAGCATGCACGTTGCTTTTAGGCTTATGTTTTTTTAAAATATGGTTAAAACATATTTTAATTCTTTTTTTTTTTCTGCACAGCACTTCCATTCTTCAAAACACTTCTGATCACATATTGCTTTTCTTTGAAACATGAATCAATTTAGTCAATAACTCTGTGAAGCTGTATCTTTAGCAGATGAGATTATATTGTTAAATCTTAGCAATTAAAGTTCTACATTTTAGGAATAATTTTTAAGAGTTCTTTTTGTATAGAATTAGAGAAAATAGAATTTCCTCTAGTTTAATTGTTGCAAAAGTCATTAGCCGTAGCTTAGAATACAACCTCCTTTTCTGCTTTGTCTCTCATTAGAACTTTTTACAATTCACTAGAAATTTTTACAATTTTTTTCAATCTTAAAGAATAACTGTATCAATAGACCTTACTCAAAGAAGTATATGACATTAGGGTTTACAAGTAGAATGGTAATAATTTAAAAGTGCTGAGTGTTAAAGAAATGGTTTAATATTAAAAAAACATATTTATGGTATCTTGTTGTGGAAACAAGGAAAGTCTTCTTGGAACACTTTTCCTCCTGCCTTGATTTTTTGGTGTTGAATTGCTGTAGGTATTTATGAAACTATAAGGATCTCTTTTGCTGGATTTGTGTATCACTGTCTTGGATTATGAGGCAGATCTTCTTGGCACAGGTCTGAAACTGTGCTTGCAACTAATTTCTACATACAGTGTATACCCACCTACAGGCCTTAGGAAGATTTTGAGATAAATAAGGAAAGTAATCCATGTATCAACTGAAATAAACTTTTGCCATATAGTTGTCACATGAATATCTTAATGAAGCAGGGAAAATACATTGGAGAGCTGTTTGCAAGGGCGAAATAATTTTGCCCCTAAGTTGTAAGACCATACACTTGATCATCTGAAAGAATTTTCTTAAACTGGATTTACTGACTTTTTTTGCTATTATTATTTTAGGTTTATATCGTTGCAGCATTTACAGGTCACTAAAAGAGCAGAGTTCTTACAGAGTAGGAACTGTACTGTAAAAGTTTAAATAGAAGGAAAAAGTATCCCAAGACCACTGTCACAGACTTCTGTCTTTAGATAATAACAACTATGCCAAGTATTGGCCTTGAAAACCTTCTGCGTAGATTTAAGGAGAAAAATACGCCATCACAGTCTATGTGTTGTTCAGATGTTGCTTCAGCTTTCTTGTTTTATTCTCTTCTCTGAAATTGTCTTATTTTTTAGTGAATAATGATTTCTCTTCCAAGTGCTCTATGTTCCTAAATTTTTAAAAAAGATTCTGGAGTTTCTAGATTAATAATAATAAAAGAATCATTTAGCCATTAAGGTTACAGTCATCCCACCAGTTTATGTAATTTATTTCATTGCACCATGGACCTGCTGTTTTAGAGGCCTGAATATTCTCACCTCTGGGAGAACAGAGTGAAGAAGGGGAATAAAGTTACTGTGCAACAGTAACTGCAGCTGGAGAGAGGAGTGAGGATATGTGAGAGCACCAGCCCTGCAGCCCCCCAGGTCAGTGCAGAAGGAGGGGAGGAGATGCTCCAGGCGCTGGAGCAGAGATTCCCCTGCAGCCCGTGGTGATGAAGACCCTGGTGAGGCAGCCTGTCCCCTGCAGCCCAGGGAGGTCCACAGGGGAGCAGATCTCCACCTGCAGCCCAGGGAGGACCCCACGCCAGAGCAGGGGGATGCCCGAAGGAGGCTGGGACCCGTGGGAAGCCCATGCTGGAGCAGGGTCCTGGCAGGACCTGTGGCCCTGCGGGGGACCCACGCTGGAGCAGTCTGTGCCTGAAGGACTGCAGCCCATGGAAGGGACCCACGATAGAGAAGTTTGTGGAGGACTGTCTCCTGTGGGAGGGACCCCACGCTGGAGCAGGGGACGAGCGAGGAGTCCTGCCCCTGAGGAGCAAGGAGCAGCAGAGACAACGTGTGATGAACTGACCACAACCCCCATTCCCCGTCCCCCTGCGCTGCTGGAGGGGGGAGGAGGTAGAGAAAATCAGGAGTAAAGTTAAGCCTGGGAAGAAGAGGGTGGGGAGAAGGTGTTTTTTAAGATTTGGTTTTATTTCTCATTATCCTACTCTGATTGGTAATAAATTTCACTAATTTCCCCAAGTCGAGTCTGTTTTGCCCATGACAGTACTTGATGAGTGATCTCTCCCTGTCCTTATCTCAACCCATGAGCTTTTCATGGTATTTTCTCTCCTCTGTCCATCTGAGGAGGGGAGTGATAGAGTGGCTTTGGTGGGCACCTGGCATCCAGCCACGGTCAACCCACCATAAAAAAATAAAGCACTTTATGTTAAAGCACTTATTAATTTGACAGCCAAACCACACAATTAAAAATTTGGAAAATTAATAATTCTGGCATTGAAGGAAAGCAGCAAACCCAACCATTGAATGAGAACTGGAAACTTTGCAATACAGTACTTTTTATCAGAAGGGAAGTATCAATTTTGTGTCCTTTCCAAGTTTAACCAGTTGTCAGATAAAGGTTGCTGTCAACATTTTCCCCTGTAAATGTTCTTCCAAAAGGCTGATAACACAGAAGGTCTTTGGTTTCAAATAGTTGTCTTTTGTTTTGTTTTGTTTTGTTTTTAAATAAAAACAGCAGCACAAGAACATAATAAAAATCCATCCTAAATTCTCAGAGTTCAGATAAACTTTTGGTAAAGCTTCATTCTCGCTTCTTGTGCCAGGACTCCTGAGCAATACTCGGCTCAAGTGTTCTTTTGCTGTAAAGAATAACATTCGATAGTTGATCTTTATGTATAGAAACATAGCGGAAATGGGAATATTTTTAGCAACTCATATTTTCTTCACTGATTATCCTTTTAGACATGCAGAACACATTCATTTACATATGCCTTTTTCTTCTGTACGCAAAATACTTAGAGACATCTCATAATAAATGTACTTCACAAGAACAGTAGTCTCAATTCATCCAGTTCTTTGGATTTTGCTCTTCTCACTTACCCTCATTTGCAAAGAAAGTATGGCCCAGTAGTTAAGTCATTAGCCTGCTGGTTTGGAGATGGATTTTAGTGCTCTCAAGGTGTAGATTTCCTTTCCAACTTAGACAAATCTGTCAGATAAGGAGAATATTACTCCATCTAACCAGGACATTTTGAGGCTGAATATATTAGTTCATCCTCAGATAATGTAGTAAGTGCCCAAAGTAAGAATATTAGGGAATTTTATTAGTATTCTATGAAAAATAGATGCTGTTACCACACAGCATATCTTGGAGCCTATGGCCAGTGGTGAAAATGTAAAGAATGAAATTTGTGCAAATTATTTAGCATGAAACACTCTCTTTTAAATTGTCTGCTTTTTTGTAGGACAGCATTTTTGCCTTGACAACTTAGAATTCTTTGGCTCTGATGAAGAAATGTGAGAGATTTAAGGAGGTGTTTGAACAATTAGTGGTTTCTCTATATTAAATTAAATCAGCTGATTTCCTTAAGAGCAACTGTAGTAGTAGCATGCAGCATGAATCTTGTAATTCGATTATACTGTTTAGTAAAAAGTGTTTTAATGAAGCCTATAAAGACAATTTGTTTTTTACTCATTTCTATCACTCTAGTGGATCCAACCCCAATTTATGAAGGAGGATGGTAGGTGTTGGGTGATTAGGTAGAATTTAGTTTGACTCAGGTATGTCTTTTGGAGGGACTAAGTGTTCTGTTTCTGTCTCATTGCTGATGAAGCATATCGCATTAAGACTGTCATCTGGCAGACTTCTCAATGAAGTGTTCTTCATTTTACAGCACTACTGACAAAACTCTGTTCAATCCAGGATAACAGCTGAAGCATTTAGTAGCTATGCTTCTTTGTTTTTCTTCTAGGGTCAACGATTGCATCTTGCGAGTGAATGAAGTCGACGTGTCAGAAGTCTCTCACAGCAAAGCCGTGGAGGCCCTAAAAGAAGCTGGCTCCATAGTACGATTGTATGTTCGTCGAAGGAGACCTATTCTGGAGACCGTGGTAGAGATCAAGTTGTTCAAAGGACCTAAAGGTAAATGTGAAAATGAAAAGACATCCATTTTAAACTTTGTGTTTAACCTCTCCTGTAGCTCAGATGACATCTGACTTGTTGGTTTGTTAACTGGTTGACCTGTCAAATACTGAAATGCAGTTAATTTAGGCTGGTAGAACTTCAATTCATGGTTGCATGTCCCTTCCTGAAATATAAAGGAATTCAGGGACTTGTGGTTTGTTTCATTTGAAGTTTACTGTAGAGATGGCTCGTTACCTCCTGAAGAAATGTAAGATGCAGAGATATTATGCTTTATATTGGCAGCATGTATACTTCCTCTAAAGTTCCTCTACTGAGACCTTTGGCTTTCATTTAAGGTGCTGTTGAATACAGAGTTTCTAAATTCTCCCTTTTTTCAGAAGGCTTCATGATTATCCAACATATCCTTTCTACTTTCATGTTGATGGTTTCTTCTGCAGTTGTCTTTGGAACAAGACAAGAACACTAACTCACCCAGATACGTGGGAGAATTTTATTTTATCCTTCAACAAAATTACACGGAAGTCTAGCATGATACCTTCACTAGTCTAAATCAGCTTTATCACTTCCAGCAGAACCTTCTGGTTACAGAAAAAAAACCCAAATTCCTTTCTAGAAGCATTAGTACAAATTGTGAATATTGTATTTTCACCTTTCCTTTTGCAAAAAGTTTTTATTTGCGCAAGTGTTATTTTTAACAAATTTAATTTTATTGTTTTTCCTGCCTGAAATTTCCCTCTCGCTACTGTATTTTTCTTCATAGCTAATTTCTGGGCAAAGAAAATGGATACTTGCACAATACCTGCAGATAGAATGAACAGCAGTAGATTTTTGGATCCATAGTAATTATTTCATAAGCAAGTCTTTAATTAATGGTATATACATGAAATGAAGAAATATGCATGTCTCAATATATGCCATGCACATGAGATTATTCTACCTGTCGTATCTACTGTGAATAAATAACCTGTAGCTTTTTCAGTGGTTTCCCTTACATCTCATCTCATGTGAATATTACAGTATGCTTCTACATAGTTTTTTATACTAGTAATGGAGTATATTTGTTTCTAATACATGTGGAATTGCTGAGATTATCCATCCATAGTATGCAAAGATAGTGCACTGTTTTCAAGATTGCACTATACCTCTTCTACGTATATCATGGTTATTTGGCACAGCAGTGTATTCATCATCCTCTATTCTTGACGAACAGTAAGAAATATTTAAACATGCATCTGGGGTAAACCCCTAAAAGTCTGGATCCTTGAGGTCAATTACAATGCTAAATTGACTTTCTAATAGAAAAGCATCTCTAATGAGATTTTGTACGTGTATGAACTCAGAATAGTAGTGCAGACAGCAGTGGGTTTTTTTAAAGCTTTGGAATTAAACTAAGTGTGTGATATGATAGTCATTTTGAGTAACCTAAGGCTAAAGAAACTAAAATTAACATATCCTTTCAGGTTGTGATGAAACAGTAAAAATTATTCTCCATGACCAAATTTTTGCTGCATTGTAGAAATGGACAAGAGAGGCAATCATTATCTAATAACATTTTTGCATCATGTTTGTTTTGATTGTATGCCTGAAACTCTTTATTTTTACATTTCTTTTCATAAAAGAGAGTGGATACCAAGAAAGTGCTTTTTATGACAAGCTAAAGAAGCTTTGCTGCTTAGTGCTACAAATGTCATTTCTTAGCTATGTTCTTACATGAAGTTCACTACAGATATGTAATATAAATAGTGAATTTCATTGTTAAGCAGAATACCTTTTTAAAATTTTCACTTCAATATTATAGAAATAAATTAACTGGAAATTTGGATGAAGCAAAAAGTTGATGTGCTAGTTCTTTGCAAAAGCCAGGGGTTTTATCTTTATAATTTAGGCAGTAAGGAAGCATACCATTGTATGCTTTCTATATTCCACAGATGAAAAAAGCTGAATGAAGAAAATAGGTTATAGATTGGTTGGAAATCTTATCAATACTAATTATAATATCTGTAGCAGTTTTCCTTTGAATTTTTCAAAATATTCCATGAAAAATAAACTATCTGTTGAGAGGCATCAAACTCACAGCAGAAGTTGAGAATAAAACCTGTGAATCTTGGCTGTAGGTTTCAGTGCTAGTCACTCGTGTGATGCTTACCTACTCATATCTCAGGTGACCTTTCTGTGAGCTGCTCTTTCACACCATTACTATGCAGTGCAAGAACAACTTCGTATTTATATACACAGTGTTTCTTATTTCTCGGGGTGAAATTGGGGTGGTGTGATATTCAGAGCAGGACCTGAAAATCAGCGTGGTAGCTCCCATACCATTCCTTCCTTCCTACTCACAAAGTGAATAAAGAAAGTGAATCTGTTTTTTAGACAAGAAGGCTGCTCCATCCTAAACTTGGAGCGGCAAGTATCTTTCCAGTTGCTTCTTTCCCTGTCTGTCTCTGTCAGTATATAACTCAGTATATACCGAGTTCACTCCTCACTGGGTTGAGAATTTACCACATGAAAGCAAGTCTTGGCTTCCATAATAGCATATAAACTCAGAGATCACTAGGTTGCCTGTGTATGTGTAGTAGATCATATCTTTCAGCACTTGAAGGTGATAAAGAAGGAAATTTGCAAGGCTTTTTATATAAATATTCTTTTAATTTCATCTGAGGTATTCAGGATGAGGGCTTTTACAAGCTCTGAGTCCATGAAGGTTAGATTTTTTTAAAATGGATGTTAATTTTTCTAGCTAGCAACCACCATATAAAAGACATAGGTTCATTTTGCAAATCTATTTTGAACATAAGTTAAATATGCATTGTGTAGCAATGGCTTTTGGAATATGGCAGGGGAGAGGTCATGGTAGTGTGCTGCCAAGTGGCACCTTTTGAATGCAGATCCCCATGCAATTGTTGCTGCTGCTTTACAGAAAAGCTGTCCTAGCATCACATGTGCTAAAAGGCCATGTAACTCTTTCACTCGTCTTTTTGGGAAGAGAGGTAAACAAAGGCACAAATTAGTTGTGTAATAGAAAATCAAGGTATCAAACAGAACTGCAGCTGTATAGGTATTTAAAGCTGTGCATTCATCAGTTTGCCACACTTGATTGATAATATTGGCTGATGTCAATAGTCTGTGTCTTGAAGGTAATTGCTAACTGTGATCATTGCAGGATCTCCCTCTCACTGTGCTTGGGAGATTGTCTTTTGTATGCTTTTTGTGTGTCTGTTCAGTCAGATGTACAATTTTAGTGATTCACTGTTTGGCTTTGCATAGCATTTAGTAGCAAACAGTAGGTGTTTTATTTCAGTCACTCCCGGGACACTGCAGGTTTTAGCAGCCAGCATCTTTGCAGTAGCTGAGGGCTGTAACAGAGGAAGGATATACAATGGAGCTTTCTTATTGAAAATCAATAGTATTTAGACATAACTGAAAATCCTATCCTTAAGTAACACACTTTTCTTGCTCTGTATTGAAACATAACAAGACTAACAGTAATGAGAATGGATTGCGTACACTGCAGTATTTGTTCCTGGGGAGCAAACATGCAGACATTCAAAACAAAGCAATTTAATGGTGGTATTTGACTTTGTAATATTACTTGTGTATTAGCTTCCCATAAGACCCTGCAAAGAATTGTGAATGAGCAGTGAATTATGAACTTCAGTCACTATTCAGAGATTACAGTGCTCAAACCCATACGATTTCATTTGACTGGAGGTTTTTAAACCAAAGGAATTCCACTGGCCTCTGGGATTTTCATGCTGTCCTATCACACTGCAAATCTACTTTTTACTAAAACCAGAAGTATTGAGTAGTATGCTTGATGTAAGATTAGTTATAAAAATTAAACTTGATTTTTTTCAAATTTCAGTTTTTTAAAGAATCAGCCAGAAAAATGCATTTCTACCACTGTAGAAAATTTCTACAGTCAGAAACTTAGTTAAACAGAGAGGTTGTGTAATATTTTACCTACCAACACAACTGATAATTTAAGCTCTGATACTATATACCAGAAGAAAAAAAAAATGCAGAAAATAATGATTTCAGTAACTGCAGCAGAGTTGGATCACGTAATAAACTTCTGACCTCAATTCTATAGGAAATGTGATATCTTAAAAGACAACACAGCTGCAGAAATGAAGTTTAGGGTATGTGAAGCAGAACAGCTGAGTACCCGGAAACTTGAGAGAAGAAATGGCAGACTTAAAAACACCCAAAAAAGGAACAATGTAAAGGATAGCTGATTCTGCCATCTGGGTATTCTGGTGTCTTGAGTATAAAGTCATAGAGAAACAGGATTAATCTCCCACAGCCTTCATGATAATTCAGTAGTAACTATCATGACAATGTTTGAACTGCATCGGAATCTTGCAGTGATGGCTAGAGCTGCCCTTTTGTTGACTGTATTTTAGATGGAAAGGCTCTGGACAGATCAGCAGCTATGTCTCTTTTCTGTTGTGTGTAAGCATGCTTTTTTCTCATTCCTGGTGAATTCAGCCAATGATGTGTTCTGATCAGGTTCACCCCACCCAGCTTTGGGCACTTTACAAAAGATACTTGGGGGCACTTATTCCTCTACTCTTTCCTGCTGTCAGAATTAGGGCCATATCAGGACTGTTCATTTAATCCATTTGGAGTGTTATTACGTTTTGGGGCTCTAAATTAGAAATTAATGCATCTGTTAAGCATTGTTCAGCCCAATTCTGTATCTCTCTTTGGATGGCTATCCTCCTTATCTTAATTTTCTTCTTAATCAGCAAAGACTAAGCTCCTAAACTGGACATCTCAACAAAATACTCAAAAATAAGATGGGATGAATACGAAGGGCATAGTACACATTTATTTTTTGAATTGTGTATATCTGTCTAAATGTTAGATGAAGTCATTGGGCATAACTAGTTCTGGAGTTTCCATTTCATTGTTTTCTGTGCTGGACTAAAGCAACTCTGCAGCACGTGGTGGCTTTCCTTTTCATGTAACTATTTGTTTGGTTCTTGATGACACTG